TTACATTTAGCCATGGAAGCCTCCATCATGTTTGGAAATTGCTGGACTATACTGCCTATTATTAATTGAGCACCTGGTTTTATGCCATCCTTAGGAGGTAGTAACTGAGAGTGTGAATTGGAGTAGCTCAGGAGTTTGTTTGCAGAAAATGGACTTGTAGTCCCAGGACATTAAGAATTTAAAAGCAGCCTTTCCTCATTTCGTCCAGTTGCAATTCTTTGTTCAAAGAATGAAGTAGAAAAGTTAGAGTCTATAAGGTCTCAAAGTCTTCTGACTTCTTGCCTAGTGCCCTATTAAGGGGAAAGAAAATAAGGTAGTATAGAATATCCTAGTCCTGAGGATAAGATCTTAATGGGTACTGGTGTAAGAGGCAGAAAATAGGCTAGTGCAAGGTTACACACTGGAAGAGAGATACAGAGGAGGAATAAAATGACTAATTGAGGTCAGTAAAAAACTGATGGGAATAAAGTTACTTGGGGATAAAATTTAGTGTTGTGGATCTCTTCTGTTTTATTTATTTATTTATTTTTTTAGTATTAAAAGCATTTTAAACATATAATAGTGAAGTTAAGAAAGCAAGGAGAAAGAAAGTGGCTGTTGTGCAGAGAATGTACTGCCAAAAGGAGTTGCTTAATGAAGCAACGATTTCACTTATTGGTAATGGGCTGATCTCATTGACTTTGTGGGCCAACAAGCATGATTTTGCCATTTAAGTCAGAGTTGACCAGACCCTTTACTGGTTGATTCTTTTTAAAGCAGCTGCCAGTTTGTTAGTTCCAATTAGAGATGGGCTGGGAGGCAAGGAGTGAGTAGGTACACCCATCAGAATACTATTCCTTTTTCCTTGTTTTGTTCCTTTCCTTTCCAGTCGCTTTCACTAGCACCTGGTGAAATAGAAGAGCCTTGGCAAGAGAACTTTCTTTGTGCTGGCTACTAGATATGCTTACTAACCAGGAGAACGTTTGGTTATAGGGAAGCTGTTTGCATTTATATGCTTGGCTTCCAACCTGAATACATAGAAACTTGCTTTCATGTGTTTCTATTGATCAACATCTCTCTTCCTCTCTAATCTACCTGCTGCTTCCAGTGAACCCTAGAGAGACTTTCTCAGTGGGATCACAACAGGTCAGGAGTCACACAGAGTGGCTTTTTTCTTAATTTCCAACCACTGGACACATAGTAGGCATTTAGTGCAACCAACGGAAGGAGAAATAGGTGTGCTGGTGAAGAGAGTGCTGTTGGTTATCATCCCAGAGTTAAGTGCCCAGAATGCAGATTGAAGCAGAGCCTGAAAGGGATTCCAAGCTGAGTTCTGCATGTGTGTTACTATAGATTTAAAATACTTACATAGAACATTAGAATTTGGCAAGTTTGTCCAGTAGATAAACTTGTGTGAGCATATATAGTAAGCATGTAAATGTACAGACTACAACGGTCATGACTTAAAGCAGTTTAATCATATCAACACTGATTTAAAAAGTTGGTGCTTTCTCATAGAAAAGTTTATGTATGTATCTGTGTGCATATGTGTACATTTGTTTACATTTGCTTGCTTGTTTTCACTAGTCTTCAAGATTCTGACTTGAGTTTTCTGGAATAAAAAAATACTGTTATATTCTTGTTTGATAAAATAGATACCTTTCTCTTTCTAACTTTGAAAT